GTTGGAAAAGTGACAAAGCCAAGGACGGCTATGTGCGTGAGAAAGGTTATGATCTTTTGTCAGTTTCTAAACATCTTGGGATTTAGTGATTTTCTATATTAATAAAGTTAATGTCTTATTCTGTTGTCCCGTTCTTTATTTATTCAAGGAAGCCTGTTGCTCACTACAGATGCTTCCTCCCATACAAGTGTTGATGTTTTCATGATAAATGATTTATGTTCATTTGAGAAGGTTAAATTAGAACATAAGATCTTATACATTGTAACAGGTCCTTTTCAACAGAACAGAATAATTCACCGTCCTCTAGAATCTACACTAGCGTTCGTTACAAGTGGCGAAGCAGGTGAAATCGTCCCGGTTTGTCGGCTTGTCCCCTCATCGATAGAAATACATGTTGAATGCTCAAACGTACTTATAGGGAAGCGGGCCAGCGATAATCCATCTTTGCTATAGCCAAGTGTTCGCTTTGTGTAGTATTCAATGCCCCTTGATCCATAATAAATAAAGAAGTGCTTAAATTGGTCTGATTCCTGTGACCTTGAATGTAGATCAGGGTGGTCGTGACTTTTCTCACACTTAGTAGCACTCCATGACAGCAGGATAATGGCCATTTATCGTGAAATGAGTATTTTTTTATTTTTTCAGGTTCAGTGTTTTAACAAAAATGATCCATATGGCATATATCCCTATGAATATTTATCAGGTTTTTAAAAATATGTAATATTATGGCTGTAAGTTACGGCGACTATCTATCATGACACTAGGCATATTTGTCTAAAAAAATGTTGGAGTGTTAAAACATGTTTGACCCCTGTGACCTCAAATTTAGATTCCGTTTCCTTTCAACAAATGTATTGCGCATATTGTTAGCTAACTAATCGCGACATGCCAGAAGCCAATCGGGTGCCAGGACAAATTTTGTACCCTAGACCTTGAGAGGACCGGCCAATCAGAGACCAATGTAGCAATCGTGTTTCAGACCTTATATGGAACTTGTGTACCAAGTAAGAAGTAGATTACATGCACTGTTCTTGAGAGGAAGTCAAAACGCCTTAGCTGATCAGAGACCATGGTGGTAGCCAATCGGAAGCCAGGGTTGCCATCTTGTATTGTTATCAGATCGTAACAAAAAGTAAAACACTTGGTAGGGGCATAACATGAACATTTTTACCAAGATTTCAAGTTGAAAATGTGAACTGTTAAAGCATGCCGACAGATGAATATTGATGACAATAGGGCACACTAAGTCATTCGGTGCAGTCATTCTTGAGAGAATGAGTCGAAAATGTCTCAGCCAATCAGAGGCCAGGACGTCCATCTTGATTTCTTGGATCAACACTCAAAGTAAGAACACTTGTTCATGACCTCATCAGAAACATTTGTACCAAATTTGAAGGCAATCGCTAAAGGCGTTCTTGAAAACAAGTAGAAAATATCTAAGCCAATCAGAGACATATACCGCCATCTTGGATTTATGAATCGGCACGATAAGTAAGAACATTTGTTTGAGTTGTCATAAGGTAAAATTGTACCACGTCAGGGGTCAATCGATGAAGTCGTTCTTGAAAAGTCAAAAATGTCTCGGGCAATCAATGGGCAATGGCGGTCATCTAGGATTTTCAGATCAACATGAAAAGTAAATATTTTCAGATCAACATGAAAAGTAAATACACTTGTTCGGGACCTCAAAAGAAACTATACAATTGTACCCAATTTGAAGTCAATTGCTTGAGCCATTCTTGAGAACAGGCCGAAAATGTCTCAGCCAATCAGAGGTGTAGACTGCCATCTTGGATTTACAGATCGGCACGAAAGTGAGACCACTTGTTTGAGGAATTTCAGATCAACGTGAAATATAAATGACACTTGTCATAGTTCGTGATGAAAAGTAAGAACACTTGTTTGAACGTCTTAAGGATCAAGTCAGAAGTCTGTCATTGAGGCAGTTCTTGAGAAGAAGTAAAAAATGTCTAAACAAATCAGATACCAGGGCGGCCATCTTGGGTTTTCAGATCAACATGAAATGTAACAACACTTATGCGAGACCTCATACTATGATCAATTGTGCAAAGTTTTAAGTCAATCAGTGAAACCATTCTCAAATAACAGTCGAAAATGTCTGAGCCAATCAGAGATCAGGGGTGCCATTTTGGATTTTTGATCAGCACTTAATGAAACAACACTTGTTCAGGATCTCATAAAAATCAAGTAAGGAATCAATTGATGCAGCAGAAACTGTCCCAGCCTATCAGAATGGGACCTATCAAATTTCACTTCCTTCCATTTTGTTCTCCAAAAGAGATTTTTTTCTCAACACCTGCAGGATCATTTGAGCTGAACCGAACGATCACTTATAATGATACACAAGGATGCTTTGAGCTAAGTATGGTTTATATACATCTCTAAGTTTCAGAGAAGGCACTTAAAGCAATATGGCCATATTTATGCCTTTTGGCCCGGCCCCTTAGCCCCCAGGGGTGTCAGCTCCGATTTTTGTACAATTTAAATACCCACCACCTGATAATACTTCAAGCCAAATATGGTTGCTACCAATTACTTTGTTTCAGAGAAGAAGTGGTTTAGATCAATATACCCAAATTACCCCTTTTAGCTTCGTCCTTAGCCCCCTTGGGGTCAGTTACTCCATGTGTACAATTTTGAATCCCTACTACATAAGAATGATTCCAGCCTTAATTGTATAAATTGTAGAATTCATCATAATTAATTGTAATATTTAACAGTGCTTGACATATCATACCAGCCTGTATTTGAACATTTAACTTAAACCAGCCACAGAAAAAAAGATGTGTTTGAGAGCTTTTTTTATGAAGTTTATGATAATGAAATATTGTAAATTACAAATAATTGTGTCTTGTTGCTACAGGTAAAATTAAAACGATTTTAGGAAGGAATAAATGACCATGTTTCCAATATTTGTACAAAACCAGAGACCTATTAATACATGTATGTAGATCTATATTGTAATTTACAAATGGTGGTCTCGCTGAGGGGCGGGGCCAATAAATTACAATGTACGGATATTTTCAAATGAACTTCAACTGTAATTGTACAAAACCAGAAAGCTAATAATATTACATGTTAGATCTAAACTTTAAGCAATACACTAAATATTTCTAGCATTTTTGTAGGAAAATTTGGTATCGAAGATTTTTATATAACACATCCTTAAATGACCTTAGGCCAAAAAAAATATGTCTGTTTAGGGTTCCCGACCGACCCTAGCTTTTTACCCCCGACCCAAAACTTTTAGAGGAAAAAAAATACACAAAAAAAAATCAAACAGAAATCGACCTACCTACCCTTGTTTTTTGGCCCATGCAACTCTAAACAGACATATTTGTTTTGCCTTAGCTGTTGATAGGACATTTAATCCAGTGGTATCCCCAGACAGTGTATTATAATTTATGTAAACACGCGAATTTTTTTTGGAAAAGCTTAAAGAATCTGTCAAATGTTAATACCTAGTTGCGTAAAGTACATATTATGAGTCAAAGCAAAAGATCGGAAAAACTCCCTTCTGTGCGTACAACGGATGTGAAGCAAGAGGCCCAGAAGGCCCGTGTCGATCACCTGGACATTTAAGCAATCACGGCAAAATATTCTAATATTTTACTACAAATATTTCCAAAAATTGGAGCCGTCTTCTTTATTTGCATGTTAAAGACGATGTTTGAAAAATGGCAGCCGCAAATTGGATTTGATAAGCAGATATCTGGATAAAATGTGGAATTTCTACAAAAGTAAGATTGTCCAAGACGACCGACATGTATATTTTTTTCATTATAAAATTTCTGCATCCAACACAGTTGTAATTCAAGATATCTTGTTCCCAATTCTTTTTATTAATATTAAAATATACTGTGTTTAATAATTATCAAATTTGACCCTGTGATCCTGAATGTGGGTCAAAGTAATTTATCAAAGCAACCACATAGCCCTTCATCCCAACATACCATGGCACAGGAGGATTGACAGCATGAATGTATGTGCAATTCTTTTCTATAGATTTTATCCGGTATAAGCAGACTTCACAATGGTGTCCATATACATTTATGTGGAACAACAAAACTGGGCCTGTTTGCTCCTTTGCTCCTGTTACAAAAGCTACATTAGTTCCGTGTTTTTTTTTAACTTTGTGTACATAATAATGAACGTTGTCGGCAAGTCTTTGAAGCCTGCTCACATAGTGAGCTTCATAGGTATATTATATATGTACACATGCAAATTCTCAGTCAAAACCTACAATGAAATCTCTACCACCCAGAAACTCGAGTCACTTGCTTAATTTTGTAAATCTTGTGTTCAGAAATTGGGTGTACCAGTCGTAGATTTAGTTCTCATAAAAAAATTGATTTGAATACAGAAACATACAGTTTTGGTAATGGTTCTCTTTTTTTTTTGAATCTTTAAACAAATTTTTGACATAGCACCGATTTTTTACTACTCGGGACCAATCAAGTGCCAGATATTTTATCTTCAGGCATTATGAGGTCATAATCAATAATGACCGCCAATACGCCAGGACCATCAAATTCTGTAAAATTTGAAGTTTATTTAATTGGATTAAGAGAATATGGCTGTTATTTTTGCTGCATAAAACTGCATGGGTTTCTCTGGGTACTCCAGTTTCCTCCCACAATAAGACCCCCCCCCCCCACACACACACACATAATATCAGGGCCAACAAGACTGATTAATATAAGTTGAAATAACTTGTTTCATAATTTTTGCAATGTAAATAAAGTTTATATTTATAATAATTACGATGCCTATAGAATGATTCGTTATTACCATTTTGTTGGGCTACTTCCTAACCTCTACTTTTATTAATGTTTGCCTGACAGACTAGGAGTTTCAAAAATGACTAATAGCAGAACTTTACACTCAATCAGGACATTCACGGTTTATGTAATCCAAAAATTCATCAGAATAAGAATTAGTGTCTCAATAGCATTTACATTAAAACAAAAACACACCCATTTTTCCATTTACATATATGTCAGTTTAATAAACTTGCTAATTCAAATTAACAACAAATGTCACAAATACACATTCTATTCCTTGGCTATCGCTTCAGTTACGACTTTATTTTTACGAATGTATGGAAGGGCTGCCTGAACATTCTGAAAGTAAAACAATAATATAAACATCAATTTTAATTGTCATGATGAATTTCAAACTGAAACAAATTTCACCTTCAACTCTTATCTTAAAATCAGTCTTCACATTATTATATTACAATATGATACAATGGGATATATAATGGACGCAGGCATTGCTATGCTTCTATTCCGTCTTTTCGTATTGCAAAGTTATCTGCACTTGATAGCAGGTATTGATTGTAACGTCATTGGTTTGTGTGAGAAAATTACACTGTTTTCTCAAAAATCGATGACGTTACTCTCACAAACAAATTATGTAACAATCAAAACCTGCTTTCAAGAGAAGATAACTCTGCAATACTCAAAGACGGAATATTAATATCAATAATTATACAAAAAATGAAATAAATGGTTGTTGCCTGTATATTACTGTATATATTATCCCCAAAATAAACCCAGGGGCCTAATACATAATATTTGACTCAAAATAGGGAGATTTGTTTATTACAGGACAATGAAATTTTGGCATTTGTACTAAACTGCTATATAGATATGGTGGGGCTATTACCAGGCATGGGCTTATTACTAGGTATGGTACTGAATATTTAGATATGTACAACCTCCAAATAAAATTATCAACTCTTAACCCTTTCACCCCTATGTAACTTTAGTAGACTCTACCATACATTGATCTGGATGAGTCTATTATGGTCTACAGTGGTGAAAGGGTTAGTATTGTTGTGAAAGCACAACATGAAATTGTTATATAGGTTTTAACATTTTCTTCCACCTCTGCGTAAGCAAGATGAATGCCCCATGAGGAACAACCATTATATGGAAACCCAGCGACCCCAGTTTTGGAGAGAAAAAAAATCTTCTAAATATTGACTAGGGAGAGCAAAATATTGACCAACAAAGGACAGCATACCATGGCCAGGTAAAAGAAATGTTTGCATTTAACTCATTCACCCCTGAAATTTCATAATGAACTATTCCAACCTTTGAATTGGAGAGTTCAAATGTGTCTTCAGGGGTTAGAATGTTAGAATGTTCAGCACCATATTGGCTGACGTTATTTCTGTATAATCTGGATACATGTGACATCACTGAATTGACATTTTGCTCAGCGGAAGAATATACTGTTTACTGGGATTATTTTACGCCCAGTCAAACTTTCGCCCTTCACCAGAATAGTCCATATTCGCCCAGTGTTGATTTCCCCCTTCACATTTAATTACTATGCATATTTTATTGTTTGCTAATATTCGCCCTCATTATGGCAAGGGAAAAAGACAAAAATTAAACTGCAGCAAAAAAATCCAGGTATACAGTATCCCCTGAAATATTGTCGCATCGGATATCACCTAATGGAAATAAACCATTTTTAAGCAATTTGCTTGGAAGCTTTTCCAGACCCTTTTGATTTTAAAAGTATACTATATACTTTTTACTGCTCTTTCTAAATCTACTCTTGGTAAATTTGTACAGTATCAAGTTAAATTTCTCATTCCCACATACCTATATATGATAGAATCTATAAGGAAACTGTGTAGGTATTTCGGTCATGGGAGAATTTTTGTCTGGGACCAATCATGTTGTGGGTCACTTTTTGCCACAAAACACTAAAATGGTCTCTAATAGGAACTATTATCATAGAAAGTATGACATTGCTTCTGCAAGTTATGGTTCCTAGTTTTTAACCAAACATAATTACAATGGCATGCTGCCATTGGCTGGCATATTCCATCTACGGCAGGTTCAATCTGATTAAAATCATGTTACATTGCTTCCTCAACTTAACACTATGCCTGAACTACAAAGTTATCGAAGCCATGTAGCAGATGATTTTAATCAGATTGCATCTAGTTTGTGCATATACATATCCTTTGATAAATATGGGTCATCTTTGACAAGCATATAATAACTGCCACACAGGAAATTGAAATTCCATACTAAATATATAACTTACCAATTTTGAAGCTCGTTCAGTAAGTTGGTCAACAGCCCAGTAATGCAGCTGAAATGTAAAAACAAATTTAGGGGTGAATGGCTTATAGAATGACCCTTACTAAGCCATCTTATATTTTGTAATCGACACTGAACAGGTTTTATAAATCACAACATGGCCGCGGCCTTAGCCAACTGACAAATTGAAACTGGAAATCGGAGGCCGCAGAAATGAGGTCTGAGAGCAGAAGCTGCACACTCTTAAAGCTGTGGGAGGAGGGGTGGGGGTGGGGTGGTGGGGTGTCAACCTCCCACCTTCAGGCTAGCTCGTTGCATAAAATGCAAACTCATTTAGAATACCTAAACGTGTGTACAATTCATGTGTTGACCTTGTGATCTGCTTTCAAGGAAATTCTAAAACAAACTACTGAAATCTGTAGCAGTTCTAATGGTAATGTAATATATGGATACCTAAATGCTCCAAACAGCAGAAAGCATCTCTACCGGCTAAATATAAGTGTGAAGTGTTGGTATTGACATCTTTGTATTGATATCTGAAACAAATGTTGGAAAATGCTTCCAAAAACAAAATCTGACAGAACAAATTTGTATTCAATGACCTTATATTAGTGCGACATAGGCCTTTATTCCAGATATTGTTCTGTATTGAACATGCATTTACAAAGGGAAGTAAATCTAACATACCTTCAGAACTTTTGGTATGGCCAATCCCTGGACTCTGTGCAATTGCCCGTAACCACTGGCGATGGGGTGAATCTGGGGGAACAAAAATCTAAGATAAGAAAGGCTCAACGGTTTCAAGTATGACTGGATGATTGATGATTAAATTAAAAATACAAATTGGAGTGAGACCGGTATCTTTACAGAGAAAAAAGAAGATCTATCAAGGTAAAGACTAGAGTCTACCAAGATGAGAAACCTGAATCCCAACTGAAGAGAGAAATTGAAGTATGCTGAGGAAACCTACTTTTTATCAAGGCATTAAACCTGAATCTCTAAAAATCTTAGAAACACTGATTCCTTTTAACCTTAACTACATATATTAAATCATTCCCTTGTTGGACACATTATATACATGTACAATCTTCTGTGACCTTGACCCTATGACCCTGAACCCCATGACCTTAGCTCCTCATACTTACTCCAATAAACATATACCATTTCCTGACACAATGACCCTTTACACCTGTCTAGACCCTGTGACATTGACTCCTTACATTTGACCCCCTTTGACTCAGATGACATATACTGACCCCTGTGACCCTGTATGCACCGATGTGTGAAGACGATGCCATCAGTGGTCCACTACTCATGTCGATGTGGTCGCCCATGCGGTACACTTTCACTTTTGATTTGCTTACAGACCGTGATGCCACACTCTTGAGCTGTTGAAACTTATATTTGTTATCCTCAAACATCTTCTCTGCTATTGATATGTCGATGTAGAGAGGTTCCAGTGGAAGGTTTTGTGAACCCAGTCGATATCCGATAGCACTCAAGCCTCTTAGTACACTCTGAAACAGCATTACATAAACTTACATTTGCAAACATAGCTTCAATAAAATAAATATACTAGAACACTTAAGACAAAAAATTCTGAATACTCCAAATTTTCCCCCCAATTATATGAATTATATAAACACATGTAAGGCTATTTGTAAAGGTTAGATTCTCCATTGGAAAAAGCCTTAAATCCACCAATACCTCTGGATGGGAATTCCAGGCTGTGTTTCAAATTGCCTGCAAGTTTTCTTGGTACATTTCGCACCTTTAAACAGCTTTTTACAATGGTCATCATGAAGAATCTTAGCTTTTTTGCGTTTTGCTATGGCATGACCTTACTATAAAACCGACATTTAAAAAAATATATTCATAGATGAAACAGCGTTTATTTTTATATTTAAGTATGTGTTCTCTAGATAACAATTTTTTTCAGTGTTGCTCAGGAAAAAGGTGACAAATTGTGAACAGATGCCATACTATACACTAAGCCATCCTCGGTATCCTGGGATTTCGTATACGCTCGCTTTCACTCCCTGCACTCCTTGAATATGTCATAGCAAAAGTGAAGGTTTTGCTATGACATATTCAAGGGGTGTAAAGAGCAAAAGTGAGCTTAACCCCTGGATATTGAGGATGACACAAAGCTCACTGGAACTTTGTGCCAGATGAGCTAAAAACTGGGATACTGTGAAACTCATGCAAATAAAAAGTTTTTGGAATACTGTGCTTTCCAGTCTAACAGCTATGTAAGCTGCTTACCTCGTTTATAGTGTAGTCTGTGGTAGCCGTGCCGAGATTAGCATCATATACAAAACTTCCGCTTCTAACTGAAAAATAAAGAGAATAGGGCGCACACTTTAAACTAGCATTACGTATACACATTCATTGTCTAGTGCAGTGACTATAAAACGTCAACCACACGTTATAAATTAATAATAATAATAATAATTTGAGGTTCTTATATACCGCTTTATCACAACCTAGTTTGTAGGTAGTCTGAAAGCGGTTCACAAATTATTATCCGGGGTTTCATAGCCTTTGCGACCAGCTAATATCTTTCTGATTTCCCTGGGGAGCATACAGCTGGTGCTGCCATTTCAGCGCTTACAGCTAGCATTCAACAATTCCAGCACTGCCCAACCACGTACTCACTTACAGCTGAGTAGACTGGAACAAGCGGAAGTAAAGTATCTTCTTCAAAGATACAACACAGTGCCATGAGCTTACTTGAACCTGCAACCCTTCGGTCATGAACCAAGCATTCTACAACTACACTTTTGTGTCTCCAAATTAGATACCACTATAAATAAATGTTAAGGATACTGATGATTAAATCATTATAATTGAAAATCAACCAGTTAACTCTTTTGAATTCGGACAACTCAATAAACTAATGTATCAAGTTAGTGTTGTTACTTTATTTGGGAAAAATTATAAACTGATACTGTTTGCTTTGTTTGTATGTTACGTCCTATTAACAGATATGGTAATTTAAGGAAGTGCCAGGTTTTGGTGGTGAAAGAAAGCCAGAGTTCCCGGAGAAAATCCACCGACCTACGACCAGTACATGTACCTGGCGACTGCCCCACGTAGGTCTCGAACCCCTGACCAAGTGCTGGAGGGCTAGTGGTAGCAGAATGTCAGATGCTTCAACCACATGGCCAGCGCAGCCCCTACTGGAAACTGATAATGCAATTGATCATCAGTCAGTTGACTACTTCAGATTAAAACCAACTATCGCGTTTGATTTCAAACCAACTGCGCATCACTAGTGAAGGAGAATGTACAAACATTTGTTAGATGACAAATCTAAGGTTATATACAGTGTATCTGAAAAACATATTTGACAACATGGCAGCAACACATGAACATATTCATACATGTTCATGTGATAGCAAAGATTTGTGGAAATCCATTTCAATAGTTAAAAGGGTAGAAGAATGGACAAAGCTCTGTTGGTTTAATGAGTAGAAGAATGGACAAAGTTTTGTTGGTTAAAGGAGTAGAAGGATGGACAAAGTTTTGTTGGTTAAAGGAGTAGAAGAATGGACAAAGTTTTGTTAGTTAAAGGAGTAGAAGAATGGACAAAGTTTTGTTGGTTTAAGGAGTAGAAGAATGGACAAAGTTTTGTTAGTTAAAGGAGTAAAAGAATGGACAAAGTTTTGTTGGTTAAAGGAGTAGAAGGATGCACAAAGTTTTGCTAGTTAACGGAGTAGAAGAATGCACAAAGATTTGTTAGTTAAAGGAGTAAAAGAATGGACAAAGTTTTGTTGGTTTAAGAAGTAGAAGAATGGACAAAGTGTTGTTAGTTAAAGGAGTAGAAAAATGCACAAAGATTTGTTAGTTAAAGGAGTAAAAGAATGGACAAAGTTTTGTTAGTTAAAGGAGTAAAAAAATGGACAAAGTTTTGTTGGTTAAAGGAGTAGACGAAAGGACAAAGTTTTGTTGGTTTAAGGAGAAGAAGAATAGACAAAGTTGTGTAAGTTAAAAGGAGTAGAAGAATGGACAAAGTTTGTTGGTTTAAGGAGTAAAAGAATGGACAAAGTTTTGCAAGTTAAAGCAGTAGAAGAAGGAACAAAGTTTTGTTAGTTAACGGAGTAGAAGAATGCACAAAGATTTATTGGTTTAAGGAGTGAAAGAATAGGTTTTGTGGAAAAAGATTTTTTTCAGTTTTAGAAATAGAATACCAAACATCTTTTTTTTGTCAGTTAAAGGGGTAGAATACTGGACAATTTTTTGTAAGTTAAAGGAGTAGAAGAAAGGACAAACTTTACCAAGTTTTAGAAAAAAAATAACACAAAGAATTGTGTTAGTTGTACAATGTTTTTACCATCCTGCATTCATGAGGCAAACTCTAATTCCTTACCATTGGGACGAGGAAATGAACACAGGTCCACCATGATACTGTCTTTGAACCCCGTCTCTAAAATATGTCCCAAGACAAACGACATGGACCGCCAAAATGTCTAAAAAAAATAGAACAGCCATTAATTAAATTAGGCATGATTGAATGGGTGCATAATATGACAGTCACAATATATCATGGTTTTTGTTATAACAGATTGTATACAACCTTGAAAACTGCATATAAATGTAACAGAGGTCATTATTTCAATTGTTCAGTTTCTCCGCTAGGAGTCGAACACAGGAGCTCTACTTACTAATATAAAGCTCTACTGAATGAGCTAAAGAGAAATTCACCCTAGCCGAGTCAGTAGGAAGTGGCCAATGTTTTACCAGAGTGACATACTCCCCCTCCAGGAAAGAACTTCAGGGTGACATACTCCCCCCTCCAGGAAAGAACTTGGTGACATACTCCCCCCTCCAGGAAAGAACTTCAGGGTGACATACTCCCCCTCCAGGAAAGAACTTCAGGGTGACAAACTCCCCCTCCAGGAAAGAACTTCAGGGTGACATACTCCCCCCTCCAGGAAAGAACTTGTCTCGATTTTCTATGGGTCAAATCGATAGTATTTCACAAATATTTCCCAGGTCCCTACATGCAACAATGTAACAGCGGATTTCCCAGGTCCCTACGTGGGCAACAATGTAACAGAGGTCAATATATGGTCAATACCTCCGCTAGAGTGGAACCAAGGACCTCTGGTTTCCTAGTTTTACACTCTACCAAATTAACTATAGAGAAGTTATCCCTAGCCGAGTCTGTAGGAAGCGGCTATCCCTAGCCGAGTCGGTAGGAAGCGGCTATCCCATGCCGAGTCGGTAGGAAGCGGCTATGCCTAGCCAAGTCGGTAGGAAGCGGCTATCCCTAGCCAAGTCGGTAGGAAGCGGCTATCCCATGCCGAGTCGGTAGGAAGCGGCTATCCCTAGCCGAGTTGGTAGGAAGCGACTATCCCTAGCCGAGTCAGTAGGAAGCGGCTATCCCTAGCCGAGTCGGTAGGAAGCGGCTATCCCTAGCCAAGTCGGTAGGAAGCGGCTTTCCCATGCCGAGTCGGTAGGAAGCGGCTTTCCCTAGCCGAGTCGGTAGGAAGCGCCTACCCCATGCCGAGTCGGTAGGAAGCGGCTTTCCCTAGCCGAGTCGGTAGGAAGCGCCTACCCCATGCCGAGTCGGTAGGAAGCGGCTTTCCCTAGCCGAGTCGATAGGAAGCGGCTATCCCTAGCCGAGTCGATAGGAAGCAGCTATCCCTAGCCGAGTCGGTAGGAAGCAGCTATCCCTAGCTGAGTTGATAGGAAGCAGCTATCCCTAGCCGAGTCGGTAGGAAGCAGCTATCCCTAGCCGAGTCGGTAGGAAGCAGCTAGTATTTTACCAGGGTGATATAAAGTTCTATATCATTGCACCTAGAACCTAGTGCGATAATACGTCCGAGACGGTCTGCACTTTACTGGAAGAAAAAGAAGAAAGTAAACTTGTTTTTTTATCCCTTCTCTCAGAACAACACTGCCACTACAGATGATTATGCATACTCACGTCATTGCTATCAAAAGGAGCCTCTTCCAAGAAGTGTAAGAGTTCTAATGTACAATCTTCCTCCAGGGGGCGATGCATATCCCACAGTTTGCCGTTGACTTTCGCCACCACAGAACGCTCCATTAACAGTTCCTGCATGTCTGCAACAAGGATTAGAATCTCTTACACTTCCATTCAATTGATACAAAAGAGAACTGAAACAATGCCCTCAATACATAGGTGAAGGAACATATGTACTGTATTTCACAAATTTTCGCTTAAAAATATTTATAGGGTTGGGATATAAACTGTTTCCAAGTTGTGACAGAGAAACTGATCATGGGACCCTAGGGACATGCCGAGACCTTAGGATCAATTGGTTGTGTACTGTCTGTCTATTTATGCTCAGCACTTGTATTGGGTTATGGGATGAGGATCTCAACTTTTCATAGTAATGACCCATTGACTAAAGTTTTAAGGGTGGGGCCAGACCATGAAGCCGTTCAGGTAGCATGGGCTGAGGATTGTGGCCCGATTCCAGGGTCTAGTATCACAATTGTCATTTATATTGAGATTATTAGTGCCCACTACTAGCTAGTTTGATCATTGAAACTTTTGGTCAAAACTTCATACTGCTGAGTTTGATATATATTATCTTTTCAAAGACAGATTGTTGTTTGTCCTTTTTACTAGCACAGTAATTAAAGTAAATAAAAGCAGATCAAGTGAACTTTCCGATTTCTGGCTGTTGAAGTTTTATTCTGATCAAGCAGCTTTGCACTCAAAACGAAAAATATATTCAAAACTAGGGATCAGGAACCTTCTTATTTAACTTGAGAAATATCTGTCATTTGCTTTCAGATAATCTGTGATAATAATATCTGATGCTGCTATCACTTTGTGTATTATATTAGATTTTCACAACTTCCTGCAATTTACAGCTCAAAATCTATTTATTCCACAAACCCTCGATCCTGTTTATACAGAAACTGAAAATCACAACCTTTGTAAAACTTGAATAGTAAATAGGACTCAGAGAAAAAAGAATGAACTTACGCATGGTGCAGTGGTAAGGAGTTGACAATCCTTTGTTCATGACGAGTGTGCATGGTTCGGGATGGCCTCCGTATTTGACCTCTATCTTCTCAATCCGCGTCACCAGCGATAGCTGACGAGCCTTTTCTTCCTCAAACAGTGCATTTCTTTTCTTCCTTATTTCAGCATTTGTCAGCTTTCTTTCAGAATAATATCCTATTAATACAAAACACTATTTTAGGTTTACAAATACATACAAGTACATGTACCAGTAAATTGTAACGGAGCACCAGCAAATCTGCCAATGTAGTCAAACTGGTGTCAGGTCATTTCAGTAAAGAGTCTTTTCGGTAGCAAGACAAAAGTTATTTCGAGTCTTTTTTTGTCTTGCTACCGAAAAGACTCTTTACTGAAATGACCCCTCGGCTAAAGACCTATTCTTGCACAAGATGCACTATCATATAAAGTGAGTCAACGAGAGATATCAAAAACGTGGAACATGTGCATGTGGAAATCTGGCCCAGTAAATTTGAAAAATCTCCAATTTGCTACGGAATGTGTCATTAGTCGCCTCTCAATACTGTGATGGATCTAACAGTCACAGCAGGGGGTCCACACTTAGTCGCCTCTTTTGGTTTGCAGGAATAATGCATGTGCCTCTTTTGGTTTGCAGGAATTATGCATGTAATTATCAAATAAGTCAGTGCAGGAGGAATAAGTAGATGAAATGGCTAAGATACTGTATAAATCTGCAATCTTGACAACAGCTGTTGGCAACAGGCATATTAAAATGCCTTGCCACAGGGAAGTCTGGTTTGTTCTGCTTGATGGAGCAGTGGTGGTTGTTGATCATGACATTGAGCTGGGTGAAGGTCTCGCCCACGTACTGTAACATGCATTTATTGCAGGTAATAAGATACACCACATTGACTGATGTGCATGTCAGCGTTTGTAGTATGTGATACACTTTGCCGTTGATTGTACATTGAAATGTATCTGTGGAGCACATGTATGGACACAGTTTGCACACCTACTTGTTACAGGTATTGAAAGAGCCTTTCGACGTAGCAGGGTTAGGTGAAGGTACCTTGCTGCTTACTACAAGATCTCTAATGTGTTTAGGTCTACGATATGCCAGTATAGGAGACTCTGGAAAGATCTGTCTAAGTTTCGCTGAAGATTTGATGATGCGCCAGGGCTTTTTCAAGATAGATGGAAGTGGCGGCAGGTCTGGGGGGAACATGACTACACAAGGTACATATAAAATTCACTCCTGTTTCATATATAAATGGTTTTAGTCTATGACCTGTGTCACGATTTCCCCGTGTTGGGGATCATTAGTGTTACCAGATTGCTAGTGCTTGAGGGGATACCTACCAACATTTACGATAGAAAGGCTATGCCTTTGCACAGGCGCTTGTATCTGGTATTTAATACCAGAGCTAAAATCCACTACTTACATATTTATATTGGATTTTAGCTCAGGTAATAAATACCAGATTTTAGCTCAGGTATTAAATACCAGATACTAGCGCCTGTGGCCTATGATAAGTTGTAATAACTTTTACCATATCCATAGTTAAAATGTATTTTGAAATTAAAATATGTTTAGAGAATAAAGACAGTGGTATCTACAGCAGAAAGAAAATGAAAAATCCCGAAACGACTTTTGACATGTCCCGAAACGACCCGAAAAAATCCCGAAACGACTTACGTCTTGTTATCGACCTGACAACACTGTATGCACAAGGGTAGTTTGAGCACCTGTTTTGTGTCCATAAGTGGCACTTTTGAATATCCTATGTATAGACAACTTACTACAAAACGTTTTATCCAACGGGTTAATAAATCTGTTCGTGCAAAGTTTCCGAATAGACATCTTCAACAAGATGTACACAAGTTGAATTCAATGTCGATCGTTCACACATGTAAAAAATATCATGTTCGATGTTAATAGCACGCTTGCAGTCTCAAACAATGTAAAACGCATAAATGATTCAGATATTTGTTATGTCCCTTGTTTGCAGCGCCACCTAATGTCATCGTCATAACAACCACATGTAAATAGCATTGGGAACCATCTTGTGAGTGTTGGAAGTGAAAAATAGTGCATGTGCTAAATAATACCGATAGTTCGCTATTCTGTCGGCTAATCAAGAAACATGGTAAGTTGAATATGTTGTCAATGATATAGTTTAATTGAAAACACATTGGAAGTTTGTTTAAGTTGCGAAATTGACGAAATACAGTACCGACTTATGATTGTTTGGCATGGAGTCATTCCATGATTCACTCTTTCCTTGCTGACATTGGTTTATGAAAGGAAGATTAAACACTCCCTTGCACATGCTAATACCATCGTAAATATATCTTGTACCTACATATTTATATGTTTATCCTATCGTGGCTGTTCCAACAGACTGAGATCAGATGGAATCACAGTATATATATACTTCCAATGTGTCCGAAATGTTGGACCACAAGCACAGGTACTAGCCTCGTCTGTCAATACACCCATGATTATATAGTATGGGTGTTTTGACAGACGGGTCTTCTACCTGCGGTTGGACCTCTTAAAATTGATACTCCTTGCAAAAATACGTTGTCTGACTTAGAGATGCTCGTCTTATCGTGGTCAGCAATAAAGTTGTGTCGGACTGACAGACATTCAAATCACTCCAGTCAGACATTGCAGGCATATTATATATATACTAATATAGCCACCATCTGCAGCTCCCATTATTCTTATTATTTTTCCTTAGTCCTACCCCAATACCACAGGCATTTGTATCTGGTATGTTAATTATGTTAAGATATAAAAATGTAGCAGAATTTGACGGGAATTTGACAGGGTCAATTGTCGGCGACCAGATAGATCAATTGGTATAGCGTCCGTCAAGAGTTTGGAGGGCTCCTGGTTCGAACCCCTGTTTGGCCCTGCATTTTCCCTCTCATGTTACAAAATAGCCTAGTCTTCCCTATCCTTCTGTATTGACAAGGTAGGGAAGACTATCTTATATTTTATCATGCATGAAAACTAACCAGACAGTCAAATTAAGAAGTCAAAATAACTATTTAAGCTAAATGATTCGCTATAATGAGTCCTTGCTGAAAACTACTAGCCTGGGACAACAGTCTAGTGTGACTGACAATCTCAGAGGATCTGATATGCTAAGTAACTTAACATCAGATTTAAATGGAAGTTAATTATTAACTTTCAGCATGTAAACGGGTTTATAAATAAATGATGGGAGAGATACATCAAAAGATGACGTGATTTTTTAAAAGTTAAAGACATATTTAGATGAATATATTTATTTTTTATTTGTTTTTTATATCAGCAAATTTCAGCCAATGATATCTTTTTCACTAATAAGAGATTCTTACACAAATTCTTATTTTTAGCCTGGCAGTGCAATCTCAGCGGTGGAAAGTCACACTTCTTCAGCGTCATCAAGAAGAGGTAAAACTAAGAACTACAGAACTGTAAGCAACCATTCACAAATAGACGAGTCTTTATTCGGCGCCCCAAATCATGTCGGCAAACGTCAGGAAATGCTGCAGGACAAATGGAATAACAACCAAGAAGTAACCATTGAACAGATGGCAAGAGAAAGGAGTGCAAAAAGGAAACATAGCAATGGGAAGAAGGGAAAAGAAACTGTTCAAGTGATTACAAAAGACTTAATCAGAAATTTAATGTGAGTTTGAGTGGATGTTTTTTAATATCTGTGTGTGTGTCACTTTAGTTTATCATTTATAATGCAGGTTTGGATGACACACATCAGGAAAAGATTTCTTTTTTTCCAAAGCACTACACTTGTTCCCAGGAATGTGTTGTTTTTTTTAAATGTTTGCCCAAAAATAAAATGTACTGGTCAAAAACGATTGTCAAATGTAAAAAAAAATGTCAAATTTACTAATGAAACAATATGCTATGGATATTGTACACCGGGGAAAATTTCACCCTTTGGCTTTGCCTGTGAGATCCAAATTTGTCTAGTGTTAATTTCGTCTTTCACATTTAATGTCACCTTTGTAAATTATGTTGTTGAATAATGTTCACTGTAATGATATTTTACCATTGGTCCTTATTGGCAGTGGACAAAAGTTTTCACATGCCCGCTGATAAAATCTTCTGGCTTTGAATATTGAACTTTGGATTTTTATTTATTTATTTTTTCAATACCTGTCAGGATAAAACTATATGAAGGTCAAGTTTAAACAATGATATATGGCAATTTATTTTAGATGAAATAGAGATGATAAGGTGAATCTGCCAACAAAAAATCTATTGAAACAAGACAGATTGATTTATTCTTAAATTTGTATTCAATGTGTTGTTAAACTTTAAAACATTTAGTTCTGATAACATTTTAACGTTTAAATAATTCATTTAAAAAAAGAAAGGTCATAAATAACAAAACATCAATGAAGCGAGCATAATGTACCAGGTAGAAATTCAAGAAGATTTTATGACTGATGAAAAGCTTGAGCCATAAAGCTTGTCAAAATAGTGCCTTTTTCATGATTTATTGTGAATTATGTATCCTGCAATGAGCCCAGGGTGGCCAACCCATAATCTCTGGTTCAAAGTCTGGGATGGATTTATAACAGGATAATTTGAGATTATTTGTTGGCATTTGAACTAAACTTCAATAAATATGGATGGGCTTATCACCAGACATGTGCTTATTGCAGAATTAATAATTGGAAGTATATATTGAAATTTTCTATTATGGTGCTGTTGAAATGATATGTATTTAAAAACTCTGTTTCTAGCATCCTTATATTAACTCATCCACCCCTGAAGACACATTTGAACTCTTCCAATTCAAAGGTTGGAATAGTTCATCGTGAAATTTCAGGGAGTGAATGAGTAAAGACAATTCAAACATGTAAAGTTACCTTGAATATTATTATTCATTAAAAAAAAGTTTTGTCCTTACCTGAAGAAATTTCCGAAACTTTGGATCAGTTTTTCAGCTGAAGATTTTTTAATTACCGGTAATGAGGAATTGATCATCAACAGTAACCATTTTTATTTTGTTATTTAGAGTTCCCACAGAGGACCCATCAGGCCAGACCATGATTCTTCAACGATATGATTTCTACAGAATACTGAAGTCAGCAGAAGTGTTAACAAAAGAGCAAAAATTATCCGAGTTAATCCGCATAAAGGAAGAAAAACTCCGCGAGCAGGTACAGTATGATTGAGGGTTGTTTACCTTACTCCATCGATTGGAGGACAGTAGTACACTTTTCCACTAAATATATATATTGTCAATGACAGCTGATTTCCATAGGGAAAAAGATAAATGATATTAAAACAATTGTCACTCTCAGTCCCAATATTTTTGCCTCCATGCCTTCAAGGGCGGAAGTCAACAATGGTTTCGAGTTATGTCCATATTGCTTTTTTCGTCCTTGAAGGCCTGGAGGCAAAAATATTTGTTCTGAGAGTGACAATTGTTTTATCATATATTTACTTTCTGTTTTTGGAAAATTGAATATTTATATATATGATATTATTATAATATATAACTATATTTTGTAATGATGACAAATATCACACAGATATACAGTAAAACGTCGATATAATGCCCATCGTTCATTTGCCACTTCACTTTTTTACCACCAATATTTAAGTGTCCCTTTTCCTCTTTTTCTTAAGAATTTCCTCGTTTTAATGCTAACCCCCTTTATATTGGCAAAATCTCTCTAGAAAAAAATGGCATAGCAATGTTTTTCTGCACCATTGGTCATTCGAAAATTCATTTTACGGTTGGTTAGTGAAAGTTCATTTTCCACATATACTGGGGTCTACAATTCCTCTAGCTCAACACCAGGGGCTAGAAGATTTAATGTTTGCGCTAGTGGAAAACTTTCAATATTTACTATGAAAATTTGGGTTGGAATAGAAAAAAAATGTCAGTGGGATAGTATTCAAAATTTATGGATTTTTACACCCCTGATAGTGATATAAAATTAATTGAAACACAAGAGATACGAAACCAAATTTATTAATTTTTAAGTAATTTATTTTTATCAAACTCTTCTTCAGTCTTTGCATTACAGAAAAACCTTAAACACATACATTGTTTATCTTTATTCACATCAGAAATCAGCAAATATCCCTTCTGGTATTTTGCTACTTTTTAGTTTTTTCATTTTCCCCAGCCATGGAACCAAGATGTCTGGAGATATTGATGAAGTTCTAGGGTTACTTTTCTATGCTATGTTAACTCATTCACCCCTACATTTTTAAACTGAACTTGCCCAGTCTTTGATGTGGTAAGGTTACAATGTGACTTCAGGGGTGAAAAAATAAAAAAAATGTAAAATAAATTTAAATAGTCAAAACAAGTAACTGTGATAAATAAATAACAACATAACTGAAAATTTCAACAAGAAAAAATAAATACGTCGATTTATTTTAATATGTGTTATTCAGGAGGAATGCCAAAGACGTAAAAATGAAATGAAGGAATATGATATGGATCGAAGGAAAAATGAGAAACTGAACGATCTAGAGGAGGAGGCGAAAGAGAATGCAGAACATCTACTGTCCAAAGCTAACGAGATGCGACAGGAACAGGAGGATGAGATCAAACACCTTAATGAGGTGGGTTACTAGTAAACAGACTTTTACGGACAGATTATAAAGTTTGGACTTTTTTTGGTTGCTTTCCTCCTTGTTGTTTAATATGATAAATGAAATACATTAGAGAACACAGTACATTATACAAATAATGGAGCCCACTTACCCTTAATTGTCATTCAAAATTTTCTTCCTGTTTGCCATATACAGCTTAATCATCGTAAAGCAAAGATATATATGCCATTTCATTTTCGTCTATTTTAAGTAATAAGCTTCATTTTCTCACACTTAATTTTGAACGCTAAGTGCCACACCCTCAGGGATGCCTAGATCTTCCTGAAACTTTAAATTTCCTATATTTGATGTAATTACCTTCATTTTTCCACAGTGAATTTTGAATGCTTTTAAGTGCCAGATCCTTGAGAAACTTTAAATTTCCTTTATTTTAAGTAATTACCTTCATTTTTCGGCAGTTGATTCTGAACGCTAAGTGCCATGCCATCAGGGATGCCCAGATCCTGGAGAAACACCAGATCAAGGGAGAGATGATCAGCGAAGAAAAGCGTTTGGACTCCATGATGGAGGTTGATCGACAGAATGCAATCAAGATCCAGGAGGAGATTGAGAATCAGAGAAAGGGTGAACGCTATCTTGGAGCAGCCAAACTTCTCGACCAGATTCAGGAAAATGAACAAGAACGTCTCTTTGAGCTGGAGAGGAAGGACATGGAAAATGTACAGATGCAGAAATGCATTGAAAAGATGATGGAGGAAGATAAGACCAGCCTTGAGAAGCATAAAATTAAACAGACTGATCTAAGGGTAGGTGCTGGACAGCTCCACAACGTTTGCTATATACTTCATATAAATGTTTTTTCAATTATGCCCGCAATTATATCTTGCAATCACTTAATTTAATGAAGTTGTCATGTATCGAACTACACTCTGAAGATTTATTGGAGCAAAAGACAAAAACAAAGATAGGTTTGGATCCAAACTCACACCTTTTTAATGTTGTATTCATAGTGAAACCTTTCTAATTTGACCTCTGTGTATTCTGACATTCTGTCTACCATATTTATTCAGCAATAAGCTGATGTCTGGTAATATGCCCACCCATACTTACTGAAGTTTAGTTGAGATGTTAACAAATGCTGTTATACTGTCATGTTATCGTCTACTTTGAGTCAGAGCTCATGTGTTGCCCCCCCAGGGCTTATTCCAGAACTAAGACAGTAATCTAATATTTCTACACAACCTTTTTTGCAGGAGGAACTAAACAAAGCCAATGATGAGATGATAATCCGAAAGACTCTCAGAGCAGAACAGGAAAGAGCAGAGGAGGAGAAGGTCGTTGAGTACATGAAAAAGAAAGCTGTGAGTTTGATTTATTATATGATAAATGTATACATGTATAGTTTAATTTTGGCTATCCCCCCAACGGTAGACTTTTTAAGGTTATATCGCATAACAGACTACACAAAAAGTGATCAGGCTGTATACCGCAATTCGTAACACAGTAATGTTTAATTCTAACTTCTGATTGGTTGAAGTTGCTTGGCAAGGAAATAATTCAATATTGCACAATGTTGTGTTTTGTGCAAAATTATTATTTTTCTTAATCAGAAATGAAAAAAATATTCTCCAACTATGAATAAAATAATGTTGTCTGACTGATTAAATTAAATCATAAGGTATAACCAGAATTATTGTTTGGGCTTATAGTTTATACAGAAAAAGTTGTGTGCAGGGATACACTATTTAAAAAGCTCATCCAAACCTAATCAGATTTGAAACAAAAATTCCGCAAAAAGGCTATTCCTCAGTTGGACTTGTTTTTCACAGAACTAACAGTACTCCTGAAACTGATTTTCTGGTTGCCATGGTGATTGGGCAAGTGGGTTTTTCAAGTTAGATTGCCAAAGTGCTTAATCTTATAATGTCTGTCTTTGTCATTAAAGAAATAAATTATTCCCATTTATAGGGCTTACATAACTTAATCGTTTACTATATGTTATTACTAAGCTTTTGAGCTAATAGCGTTAATATTTGAAGTTCAACACTAGTGATAACTGTCTAGATTCACAGATGCATACCTGACAAAGGATTCAAAAGGCATTTTTTGGTGAGTTTGGTGGCATATAAGAGTGCTACAGGCATCTGCTTTTGACAACTGGAAATTTACATGAAACACTTGCTGATTGGCTGATTTAGTTTAGTGAGTCCTTAAAAGCATACAAATAACTTGAAAAAGTTAAGAAATATATATATAATATCCTACATATCTACAATCTGTTTAATCTATACATAAATACTTGCAGGTGAATTTTATTTTACACAAATTTACTAACTTACCATTTAGTGGTAGGAGTGAATTCTAGCTTCGTTACCCAGCTTCGTTGAGCCTGAGGCTCCAGGGGTTTCATCAATAAAAAAACTCACAGATAACATTTAATACATTTATTACGAAGAACACCGAAACCTACATAGAGGCACAAAACAACCTACTCAACCCTTAATTAACACGGGCTTCTATTGGGACATAGAAATGTATGTATATATACACACTGCATGACTGACAGTACAAATACAGCGGGCAGCCAGCAAGACTGTACAACAACACAAAAACACCAACCTAGCTCCCAGACTGGTCATAGGACAGTGACAACACAAGACTGAACAGAAAAAGAATGAAGGAGCTACCAAGCAGGAGCTACCAGTTCAACTTGAATAACAATTTCACACCTAAACAATTCTACTTTTACAGCTCATATCTACATGTTATAATCTACCTGTGTACTATTATGTACCTAAAACATATGTGTGCTATTTGTTTATCAGGAGAGAGAGGCTGCATTTGAGAAGGAACAAGAACGTATCAGGATAGAGAAGGAAAAAGAGACATCCCGACTACGAGCCCTTCAGGAACGTGCCAGGGACGAACAAGCAGAACGGGATATGCTGCGAGCCAAGCGCGCCCAGGAACAGACAGAGAGAGAATGGAGAAAGAAGGAGGCTGAGGAACAGCGCAAAAAGGCTGAAACAGAAGCCATGTTGATTGAAGCACGTGGCATACAGATGCACCAGAAAGAACACTTCCTGGCAGTCCAGGCACAAAGGGAGCGCGTCGAGTTCGAGAGAGTTCTTCGGTAAGTACCCTCATTGTTCACATGGATTTCAAATCGTTTCTTTTCTTTTTCGTAATACTGTTTTCTAGAACTGTTCATTGAACGAAAAAGGAAATGACTTTTGTAAAGCTAGGACCCAACAGCATTCTTTTCACAAGGAAAAACGTTTTCTTTGTTTTCGTGTAATTTACTTAATTTTTCAAATTGAAACAATAGACATGAAGCAATTAATTATCTTGTAAATGAAACAGGGCCCAGAAGGAGCTTGTCGAGAAGGAACGTCGCGAGGAGTTTGAATCTACCAAGAAACGTCATGCCCATGCCGATGATGTACGGTATCAGATTCGCCAGAAGGAAACGCAGCGCGTCATGGAGCGTAATGCATTCTTTGAGGAGGGTGTTAAGTTGGACGAGGAAGCTCGTGCCCGACGAAACAAGTTAGAGGAAGTTAAGAGGAAGAAACTTGGAGAGTTGAGGTGGGTTGTTCTTCTTATCTCTTTCTTTTTATACATTTTTGAAACAGGTCCAAATTATTTTAAGATTCAGTTTGACCTGAGAAGAAACAGATTGAAACTTGACTGAGATTTGATTCAGTATGAACAATATTGGTTATTTTTTCAGTAAAAGCAAAATGCCTTGAAAAAAGGATGAAAATCACTTTTTTTTTCAGGAAAAAAAACCAGTTAAGAAATATGTATTTTATATTGAGATAAAAAAAAGTCATGGAAGAGGTATTTCACAGCAGATAGGTATTGACACACGGAAATTCTGTAGTGATCAATAAAAATATTTTTTTTAAAATGTACCAAAATTTGTTTTTTAAAGTTGTAAAGTATAACTTGTTTATCATAATTTGGTATGCAAAAATTACATTATGAAAATATTTTTCAAATTTAATTGCTTTCCTGTATTTTTTTTACAATTGTGTATAAGAATATTTACCGTACTTATTTTTTTCCTGAAAAATAAGTCTTTATTGTTTGAAAAGAGGATGTACAATATTTTATAGAATGTCGAAGCATTTATCAGAAGAAGAAAAAAAAATATTTTTGTGAAAATTTGTCTACAGGGCAGCTGGAATACCTGAACGATATGTCACTCATGTGGCGCACAAAGTTGATGTTGTCACAGCTTCATAGATATGCTACCATTGCGGTGCATTTCCTCCGATAGGAGGCGGGGTCAGTACAGTTTGATTGGCACTTGTACAGTGTTTGTGGGTGTGGTTTGATGCATTGATGTGCCAGTTAATTGGTTTGAGTTTTTAACTGCCTTTGTATACTGACAACTAAGTCACTTCTCCAAATTCTTTTTTATCGATGAGGTAAAAGATATTTGGGTCAAGCTTTGATAATCCAGATTTTTTTTTAACAACTCTAAAAGAACAGAAACGTTTCTTCTTTTTGCATATTTAATTTGCTTTTTATATTTGATGGGAAAAAAACACACACAAAATATGTGTGTAATTTTTAGTATTAAGGTATTTCACAACACATTTATTTTGCATGAAAAATGCGATATTTTCACACAATAATGCACATTTACTTATACTTGTGTTGGTGGCCCCTGCATCATTTTGCACTTATATAATTGCGTGTCAAGTGCACGAAACTTATTACACATGTGTTTTGTGGATAATCTATATATATATCATAGCTAGCATGTTGATTTCCATTCTTGAAATTAAATTTGCAGCCCGCAGAAGTTAACTATCATATATACACTTGTATTTCATAATGGCGTGAACAAGCTAGATGATTGTAGAAAATTGTATGTTACTCATATAGTCATTTTCCATGTGTAAAATATATTTTAAATGAAATTCAACCAATAAATGTATTAATTTTCTGTATTATAAGACATATGCCGAAGAATGATGTTTTAGAAAATATGTTATTTAAAATGTACATGGTACTGAATTGGTTTTTAGTAAAGGGAGATAATTTAGAAATCACAAGATCATCCAGAGTAATCTGACAAAATGTCAATTCTGAAAATACTGTGTGGTGGTTTGATTTATTGGGCAACTTAGATGACTTATTCTTGGAGCATTAAAATGGTTTTGGTGTACATGCTTTTTAGGCCAAATAAAAAAGTTGTTTGTTTCCGGTTAGCCTACCTACTCCAATTAATTTGTGCCTATAGTTATCCCCTTTACTTGTGTTGGCAATTTTCAAGGAAGTATTGTTTAAGTCGAGATTACTCTCATATAGATATAAACCTTACAAAATATGATTGAAAATTGAAATTTATTACTTACATAAAAAAAAAATGTGCTTATACCCGAAACTTTTTTGGCAATTTTCAAGGAAGCACAGGTAAAGTCAAGATTACTTTCATATACAAATTTGATGACTTACCTACCCTAATGTTTTTCTGACAAGTAACAGGAAACACATTTTTTTATTTGGTTTTACACTATGTGAATCTAACATGCTTATCAGCTATACACCTATGTACTTGTATGACTTTGGGTGTGGCTAGTGTATATGGTGTGTTGGTGATATTGTTTATTCCAGATAAGAATACATGTATATGAGATTGGGGCAGGGAGGTACACTGTAAGTGATCAATGGTGTACAGTTCTAAAAGACACTGAGTTTATTTCTAGGCATTAGTCAGACGTTGGGCTTCTATAAATATGAAATTGTACACCTGGTACAAAATAAGAAAGCGTGGTGGCAACAAAAAATGATTGTTAATTGACTTGAGTATGAGGCAATAATGAGTTAAGATTATCAGGGAACAATGCCTGATATTGTTTTATCTGGAAAAAAAACTAACAGTATTAGTACAAAAATGCAAGCTATATTTCAATTGTAAACTAATTGGTTCAGGGAAATAATTGTCTAAAAAATCAAGTTTTATAAGGAAAACAGTTATATAGGTTTGGATTAAAGATATTTAGAAGAAAGGGTATTCAAATCATTCCAAATAGCTATTAACAGATATTTTGTCCCCATGGGGGTGAGATAGAGGAATCTCAACCCTTTAGGGGAGGTAATAAACTTGCCAAACATTAGGCTTGGCAAGTGTCAAAATATTTACTGATAAGCTTTTGATTTGATTTGAAACAGTTTTCATTGTGGTTGTTAAAAAAAAACTATTTGCAAACTAAACTATTTGCAAACTGAACTAGCTTAAGCTCTTTAAATTGGCATATTTTTTTTATAAAACCATTGAAAATATAAAAAAATTACCGTCAATAATGTCATTTAATTATGCTTTAATCAAATTATTGAGGTAGAGGGTAAGTTATTTCTTGTTTAATTGAGGTATGAAAAGATGAAAATAATCCCATGGATTGGAATATATTGTATAAAAATGAAGAAAAATTAATCGTATTATCAGAAAAACCAAACTCTAGCATTCTAGATTTAATGTATTATAAAGGGGGTAACTATGTTTGTAAATTGCATGTGCGTCTACTTTTTCAGCAAAAGATTCTAATTTTCATTGCATCCACTAGTTATTGCCACGTTTCTCTGAGCCAACATTTTACACACCACATTATTTTTATTTTTCAGAAATGCAGGAATTCCAGAAAAGTATTTGTCACAAGTGGAAAGAAAGATCATCTCATCCCAGCAAATCAGTGCTTGATGAACACCTTTCAAACTGTCAAAATTACAAACCTTTTCAGGATCAAGATTAAACTATTCTTGGAATCCATGGCATTGAAATTTAAAATATTATTTAAATTCATGCAATGAGAGGCTAACATTTAAAATGAGAAGAAGATGAAAGTAGCCCAATAGAGTTCAATTCTGTTTATTTCAAGCATGGAGCCGACAAAACACTTTAAATAAAATCCTGATCCACGAACCTGGGTATGTTGTGTTATGATGATGGTGAAATAAAAGGATTTGATGAAAATGAAGAAACATAAAATGAACATTGATAGTGTTCAATATTAAGGCTTTTTCTTTGAAAGAGTTCATTTAAGAAGTATTTTTACGTTATTGTGTGTATGAAAATGATTCCTCATTGCTCTAACAGTGTAAAGTGTTAGGTTTTATGTCTAAATATTACAAAATGTTTTTGAAGCCGTCCAGCATCATTCTATGTTTACGCCATTTTTCAGTAAGTTCATTGTGAATATCATAATTTTGTATTGTCATTTTCTTCCCAAACCAAATACTTCCTACATTTTTCAGCAGACCGTCAATACTTTCAACTGATAATTAATGGAATCTGACATTTATTTATTTTTTTAGGTTGATTTGAAATATTCGGATTGACATTTTTTGGCCAATAAATCGTAAACTCAGCTTTTTTTTAATTTTTAAGAGACGATATGGCCAGAATAGTTTACTTAATGTTGAATTTTTGTTCTTGTTTTTTTTTAGAGCACACTATTTTGGGCTGTATCCAAGTGCGTTGAAACTGTGATATATATATTTACTGTACATTGTACTGTTTAATTTTATCGTCATGTGATAATTAGTTAAAGTCAGACTAGTGTGCTCAGTTCTCATAGTACTACATAACATTTAAAAAAACAAATCACTGGCAAATATGTTCAAACAAGTATTCTATAATAATATACAATACATTCGACCTTGTGAATACTACTAGCAAGTGGAGTAATTTTATCTCATTTGCAATCATATTAAAATAGAAACTAATAAACACAGTGTGTTTTGAGTTTGTTTTTTAAATCATTCACATAAATTTATATCAGATAAGTCAAAAATGTTTCTTTCTCAGGTTTTCTCAAAATGTTCTGTCCAGGTTGTTTATGATATACACAGTACAGATATGAACTATTGGAAAATTTTGATGCTAAAACTGAAAAAAAAGCTTGTAAATGTTCAATTTGGAAATAAAATATTTTGTATATGGCATCAAATCTTTAAATTTCAGTATCTGGGTTTTCATTTTTAATAGTTGAATTAATTGTAGACAGTTATATCACTTATAAATATGTGTTGACATTCAAGATGTTGAATATAATTAAAGAATAGATTACTAGTTTTTATTGAAGACATAGAAGAATGCTCTAAATATTGCCACTGTGTCATATTTTAATCCAATGTGGGTATTTCCACTTTTTGTTGGAGAATATTGACAATGCAGTCAGTGCTTGGTAAAATGTGATGGGTGTTTGTTCTGAATGACAAAGTGCAGCCTCAGCAGCCTTGGTTTCACATTAATGATACAATGTAAATATCCTGTCTGTAAAAAATTGAATAAATAACTATTTATTATATCAACAATGTCATTTATCCTATTTATTACCTCAAGGCTAGTTTGGTGGTGACGGTATTCCGTCTTTTCGTATTGCAGAGTTATCTTCTCTTGAGAGCAGATATTGATGGTTACGTCATTTGATTGTGAGAGTAACATCATCAATATTTGAGAAAACGACGTAATTTTTCTCATACAAACCAATGATGTAACAATCAATACCTGCTCACAAGAGAAGATAACTCTGCAATACGCAAAGACGGAATGCTCTTGTCCAGTAAAGTTAGTTAACTGGCCCGAAGGGCAAATTGAGCCGACAGCATTGTGCAGCGTCCTTTACCCCCAGCATCAACTTATTTCTTAAACCAATTTCATTCAAAACTATATTAGGCAATAGGTAAATAAAGGATCATGAAATATGGCATGTAGCATCCTGGGGAAAAAGGCCACATAATTTGTTCGAAGGAATGACCAGGACAAATTTTCAAGGCCACAATTATGGTCAAATTAATGTATTTGAACAACATCTGCTTAATTACCAATAAGTCCATTTATGAAGTCTGGATGAGAATGCAGTAAAATCTTGGATACAGATAACGAACTCAAGAGATTTACTTTAATTTTTAGTTATTTTAGAGTCATTATTTGTTATGAATTAAATTAGAGAGTCCAACAACTTTTCTACTGTATAATATGGAAATCAATCCCCACGATCACACCTGATGTGATATATCACAGGGACCTGAGAATTCGTTACAGCTATATTTCGACTTTCGATAAAAAAATGACACCCCAATGATCATACTAGTATATATGATCATTGGAGGTGTCATTTTTCCCGGAAGTCTATCTTAACCCCTGAAAAATTACCCTACACACCTTAGCTTAGGTCCAAATATAGCTGAAACAAATTCCCAGGTCCTTGTGATATATCACGTGTTGTTGGAGTGGAATGTTAATGTTGTCACAAGCTAGACACCACGGAAAAATAGTAAAAAAAGGAGTAAAGTAAACAAATAAATACATTAAATCCAAAGTGTGGTAATGGGAGCAGCAGGTCGGTTTTTGTTACTTCATTGTCTTTTAATTATATATATATATAAGCAGACGACACAGATTAATTAATACCTCGTAGGTTGACATTCTTTTCAAGAAGTCGTTAACCTTTCAGATCGAGGTTGTTTGTCATCGTGTTTGATGTTGCCATCCGTTTGTTGGTTGTTTGTCATCATTCTGGAGGATGTCATCATTTGAGAAGTTTGTTCTGGATATTTGCACACATTAAGCTTTTGTTTCTTACTCAAATGTAGATTGTTACCGATTTGTCGTTATTCTCAGAGATTGTGACAATACATATAAGATGAAATGACCAAGGCAAAGACTCGTTGAGGGAACAAGCATCCGTAGTAAATATCAAACCTGGAGTTAGATTGTAAAGGCCATTACATAGGTTATGTCATCACACAGCTCCAGTATGAACGGGCAGTACAATAGTTTAGCGCCTTCGCAGACTGCAACAGCATTAAAACGACAATGCACGTGCAAAATCTCGACATCATCCGGTAAGAAATGAGAAAAATATGCATTGTTGAATGGTATGCAATCGTAACTAGTGGCTACTTTTCAATGCTAAAATGAAGGTTGAGAATAAATCTGAAATACGCTCCAATAACAAAGCATGGTATGCTTTCCAGTATAAACAGTAAACCACTAAATGAAGCTGAAGTTTCTAGCACAAATCACATTCTCTATATATATCACTATAGTCTCTAGCACAAAACATTCTATCCAAGATGCAGAAGCTGTGATGCTGAATCGGCGTAGGTCATCAGGTCGATAGTTTCAGTCTGATAACGGTCTTCCATTGTGGCCAGGCGTCTGTCGATGTTGGCGTATCTCTTCTTTCGGGGTTGAATAGTACCTCCTGCATCTCTCTGGATCCGATTGATGTCGTTCACGTTCTGTATGTCTTTAAACGTCTGGATGATAGTGTAGATGTTGGGGTGGGCATGCAGTACTCTTCTTTTCAGTTTTCCGTGCCAAGCTTCCAGGTGGTTGATAGTCCGAGGTCCCTCTGTTGGGAAGTGGTTCCAGGTTGGTCGGTCTAAGGGGATGAGTGGAAGAACAGCAGCTCGGCGGACAAGTAGTGACGTCGACGTTCTCATGGTACAGTGTCTTGAGTCCGGTTGACTGGGCCTTTCGCCAAATACATTGACTATAATGGAAAAGACAGCCTTTTATGTTGATACCAGGGAAGACACTGCCGATGGCGTTGTGTGCGGCTACCTCAAAATCGACGAAGGCTGTTGTGGGTCGGAATGGAATCTGGAAGTTTGTCATGTGCTCCTGTAGTAGCGTGAAGAAACGGTTGTAGATAGCATGGCTCTTTCCGGGAAGTAGTGCATATACAACTGGGGTCATAATGCCTTCAATCTGTACGTGGATGCTGTAACACAGGTATAGAAGGTGCCGTCACTGAAGATTACGTCGGAGGCTGCAAGTTCGGCCAGGTTCTCTGATGTAGAGAATGCGACCATTCTGTTGTTCAGTTCACCGTCGTCGAAGAGGAGACATGGTTTGCATGTGGATGTTTCTGTCCATCTTCCATCAAAGGTGATGTCGGTCAAGGTCTTTGGTAATGGAGGAGTCTGTTTGTGGCGAGCACGGTAAGGGGATAATTTGGCAGTGTAAAATGTTGGCAGTCGATGGACCACGGTTTTGGAAGTGCCATCGCAGTCGTTGTCTCGGAGTTGGTTGAGTTCCTCGTCGAAGATGGAAGGTATGGGTCTTATAGATTCTACACAGCGGTTGGTGATCTGGTTCATTATCTGTTTTGCAACTATACTGGCTGGGTCTGCGGCGTGGTTGTATTGATGTCTTCCGAAGTTTGCTGGTATGTTGTTTACTGTAGAGAGGGATGCTGAACAACCTGAGGTTGAATATCTCCAGAATGTTCTGTCGCCGTTTCTACGCATTTGTCTGTAGATTAATCCATCACGGGAAAGGTTCTGTCCGCCTCATCTGTTGGTGATGAACTTAACGTTGATCTGAGTGTTTGCCATCTTGTAGTTGATGTATCAAAGCACACAGATAATAATATCAAACTGAAGTTACACAAGTTAAAAACTGTTCATACAAATCTGAAAATAAGTACAAGTTTCATATGACAATAATCATAAGAGAATTCACACAAATCTGAAAATAAATATATGATAATTCACACAAATTTGAAAAAAAAAGTTTAAATAAAACAATGACAAATTCTGAATACAAAATTCATATTCACTGAACAAAGAAGTTGATGTTTCCAAGTACAGAGCGAAATACGATAGTTCTGCTGCTGGTTGGTGGCTGTGGCGGTTTGGGCGAACCCATATGCGCCAGTCACTCTTGTTTGTTGGTTTCGTTGTCCCACATTCTGGTGTTTTTGTCGTGGGAGGGCGATCGGAATGGGCCAAGAAGGCTTGCATAGGAGTTATCTTTGATTTGTATTAAATTACTTTTGTGAAAATTATATATATAATTTTATTTTTTTATTTTTTACTGTTTTCAAGACTGTGATTATTACGTATATTCGTGTATAAATAGGGTAGTATGTTGTGTGTGTTTTGCGCCCCGAGTCTAATACAACCAGTTACACCCGACAGTCGAGGACGTCTCTGCATGCTTCCGTTTAGTACAGTACTTAGTCCTTTTGCCGGGCTTGGCTCATTGCATAGATTATCCGGGGAGTCCCTATAGTGAGTGCAATTTTAAATTTATAATACTGTATGTATTTCTCAAAAATATTATAAGATTATATAATAGGAAAATAAAGGTAGATAGATGGAGATTAAAAATAAAAGAAAGACCCAACAATAATGGTTCTTATTATAAATATGAATTTACAAAATTGGATGGCGAAAAAAAATTGATGTTGATTATGATAATTCTCCAAAATGTGCTGCTGTTTTATACATTACCCATTTAACAGTTAAATTTGTTTGATTCTGAAAACTGTTCTAAATATTTATTATTATTTCGCAATTATTAGCAGTTATTGATAATCTGATTAGTTATCAGAAGCTGATTTACCTGTGCAATTTACCTGTACACCATTTCCGCAATAGACTAGAACTCACTATTATCACAACTGACCAACTATGTAAACAGGTTTTTTTAAGCAGAGTTGGTGATCAGGGAATCCACCGTTGAAAACGTACGGTAATTTACGGTAACATGGCTTGTTATTAATGCGTCGCAGGGGTTCAAAGTAATTAACTCAGGTAGATAGCTTGAGCTGCTCAAGATATCTATCTGAGTTAATTACTTTGAACCCCTGCGGCGCATTAATAACAAGCAATGGTTGTCAAGAAAGGTCAGTCCTTGCAAGAGGTATAAAAGCGATAAGAAAGATTTGTATTTTTTTTTTCAATTCTTGTGGGCATGTGGTTCAAATACCGTGCAAGGAAGGTAACACTATCACTTCCAGGTTTTACAGAGACATAGTACCGAGGCCTGTCAAAATATTATACATGAACAAGCGTCCAAGTAAAGGATTAAATGGCATCCAAGCAAATCCATGACAATGCTTCATCCCACAACAGCAGTATGACACTGGTGTTTTTGAAGCGAGAGGTGATAGTTCATATTGACCACCCACCCTATTCACCAGATCTAAGCCTTCCTTCCTCTTTCCTTTACGAAAGAAAATCTTCTCTGTGAAACGGTATACGTATGCCTCTTCCAGTGTCTTCCCAGTATACCAAGGGGAGACTACCGCACAGAGATACGTAATAGATAAACTTTTATAAAGTAGTGGCAAAACAGAGGAAATCAACGCCTCAACACACGGCAATCCTGGAAATAGAGGGCGACAAAATCACGGAACCTGATAAGCTTCTAGAGGAATGGAAAACCCATTTCCAGACATTAGCCACCCCTGTTAATAAATACCACTTTGATCATAAACATCTGACTCAAGTTACTCTTGATGTCCTACAGATCGAGCTCCTTCATATCCTCAAATGTACAGTCCATGCCCAAGT